CAAGGAGCAGAACTTCAAGGACTGTTTTCAGTTTTTGATGAAACGTTTGAGTGTAAAATGTTTTTTCCTGCACACGTGGTGAACCTGAACGTCTCAGTCGGACCCGGCCCAGAGGACCGGTGTGGTTCTGTTCTCACTGACCTCTGGATGAAATGGTTGACTGGTCCTCCGGTGTGTTCTGTGTCCAGCTGCTCCACATGAAGAGTAACAAATACCTGACGGTGAACAAACGTCTGCCGGCGCTGCTGGAGAAGAACGCCATGCGCGTCACGCTGGACGCCACGGGGAACGAAGGCTCCTGGCTCTTCATCCAGCCCTTCTGGAAGCTCCGCGCCAACGGAGACAACGTGAGGACACGAGCGCACCTTCACCGAGTCCACCCCGAGCTTCTGCCGTCAAACCTGCTCCAGATCCAACGTGAACATGATCAAAACGACTTCAGTACAAATTAAATCTGTTCACACGTTAAAATCATGTAAACGTTAAAATGTTCAGGAGAAACTGAAGGAACCCGTCGACACGTGAACATGTCTGAAGTCGATGTTGGAGAGGAATTCCTCTTAAATTACAGTTTGAATTTAATTAAAATTTATAAAACAAAGAATAAAAGCGCATAGACAAATATATATAACACCACAAGGAAGTCGGTTAGATGAGAAAATAACAAAAATGTGAAAAATAAATATAAAAATATATTTAAATATTTTAACTGAGTGTTCAAAGTGCAAAAAAAAAATTTCTATGAATGTAAAAATTTAAAAGTAAATTTTTTATGTAAAGCTGAAACATTTAAAGTGTAAACTTGGCATATAAAATATTAAAAAATTAACATTTTAAAAATTGCACTCGCACAATAAAACTAAAATTTAAAAAATGTATAATGTTTTTATTATATATAAATTTTTAAATAACCAAATTAATAATGTAAAACAATAACTTTAAATCAATTATTTTTTTTACATAAAGTTTGAAAATTGCGTTTATTTATTACATTTACTCAGATTAAATAAAAATAAATGAATAATGTAAAAAATACTAAAACAGGTTTTAGAAAATATTAAAACTTAAAAATAAAAGGATAATAATGCCCAGAAGTCATCTGTTTGTAATTTACACGTTTTAATTAATTAAATATATATTTTTAAACATAGTTAAGTTTATTTTATTTGGACTATGTTCCCCTGTCAGTTTTATTAATTTTGTAGATTTTAAATAAACATAAAATGTCATGAAATATGTTTTGGTTTGTTTGTTTGTTTGTTTGTTTGTTTGTTTGTCGGCTGCAGGTGGTGGTCGGAGATAAAGTCATCCTGAATCCGGTAAACGCCGGTCAGCCGCTGCACGCCTCCAACTACGAGCTGAGCGACCATCCGGGGTGTAAAGAGGTGAGAGACGGCGCCGCCGGGTCCGGTGGTTTGAGTCCCGATAAAAAACTGACATGAAGCAAAGAGACAATTAGACACACACACCGACAGACACACACACAGACAGACACACAGACAGACACACACACAGACAGACACACAGACAGACACACACACCGAACAAAGAGCAGAGCCAACAGCTGATGATGAAGTGACGGTGAGACTGTTGTCGCCCCCTGCAGGTGAACTCTGTGAACTGCAACACCAGCTGGAAGATCAACCTGTTCATGATGTTCAGTGACCACCGGGAGGAGGTCCTCAAAGGAGTGAGGCACAACTACACAATGACAACAACAATGATAACACAACAACAACACAATGATAACACAACAACAACATGATACAACACAAATATAACAACATAATTTAATGATGACAACATAATGATAACACAACAACAACACAATTATAACACAACACAAAAACAATAATAACAACATAACGGTAACAACACAACAATGAATAACAACACCACTAGCACAACTCAGTAACACAATAACTCAACAGTTTGGACATGACGGATAACCTGTACTTTATTTCCTGGTGTGTGTGTGTGTGTGTGTGTGTGTCAGGGCGATGTTGTGCGTTTGTTCCACGCTGAGCAGGAGAAGTTTCTGACCTGTGACGAGTACAAAAGTAAACTACACGTTTTCCTGCGAACGACACTGAGGCAGTCGGCGACGTCTGCGACCAGCTCCAACGCTCTGTGGGAGGTCGAGGTACACACACACGCACACACACACGCACACACACACACACACACACACACCAGCTGTCTCACAGAAGCTGGTCTTTACACAAACTGCTGATTACTGCTGATTAAAGAGTTTCCTCTGATCTCTGCGTGCTGATTTGTCCGTCAGGTTGTCCATCATGACCCGTGTCGTGGGGGGGCGGGGCACTGGAACAGTCTGTACCGGTTCAAACACCTGGCCACGGGGAACTACCTGGCTGCAGAGGTAAGCTGAACATGAACATGTTAACATTCATGAAAACATCATGTAGGGCGGGGCCGGAGCACGGTGGGGGCGTGTCATGGTTTGTGTGGTTCCTGTGGAGGCTGCAGAGTCTGATCCAGCTCAGATTATAATCTGACAGAGATCCGCCCCCTGGATCCTCGGAGCTGAACCGAAGCAGTTCTGGGCTCTGAGAGGTTTGTTCTGTTCGCAGGAGAACCCGGGGTACAAAGGAGACAACCTGGAGCTGTCGGCCTCGGTGAGTCCTGCGTTCCAGTCAGGAGGGGGCGTCGGCTGATGATCTCTCATCCTGACCTCTGACCTCTCTGCAGACGGACGGGGGCCGCAGCAACAAGCGCTCTCAGGGTGAACGGATCAAGTACAAGCTGGTGGTGGTGCCTCACGGGAACGACATCGCCTCGCTGTTCGAGCTCGACTCCACCACGCTGCAGAAGAACGACTCCTTCGTGCCGCGGTAGGGACTTCCTGTCTGACATTAAAGTCCAAACTGAATGACAGGAAGTGCGCTGGCCGGGTCACATTGTGCTTCCTGTTCGTGGAAGATGTCAGCAGAGTTCTAAAATCCTGCTGCTGAGCCTCAGACTGTTCAGGCTTGTCTTTGATGTGATGATGTCATCAAGAGGCCGACGGTACAGGAACCTGCACAGAACCGTCAGGTCCAGATGGTCCTGACGTCGGGGGGTTGGCTGACGGTCATACGAGGAGTAAACTGCTCTTTGCTGACCGTGACGACAGAACATGAGCAGAAGATCCCGTCTAAAGCTCTGGACCAAAGCAAAGCACGGACTGTCCAGTTCAGATCAGATGAAGGACCGTCTTTAATCAGCTGATTGGAAGCAGCCGGTAACACGTCCGTTAAGAATCGATGATTAGGCGTGAAACGAGACCACAAGATGAAAACATCAGGATTTCTCATTGATTTGAAAATGTTTCTGCAGACCAAACAAATTTAGTGGAAACATCTCCGCACGTCTACAGCTCAAACATGTCAGGGTTCCCATGGTGCACACCTCAGAGTCCAAAGGTCACAGCTGGAGGTCATGGGTTGTTGAAGAACTGTTCAGGTCTCAGGAGAGATTCAAGTATTGTCACATGCAGTTTCTGAGGGCCTTGGTCCACAGACCAAATGTTCTCCAGCTGTGTGATGTTCACTGTCCAGGTGAGGTCCTCTGTGATGTGGACACCCAGGTATTTACAGCTGCTCACCTTCTCTACGTCAAGCTCTCAGATAACCAGTGGCTGATGAGGTCTCCTCATTCCTCATGTCCACTACCAGCTCCTTTGTTCTGCTGGGCGGCCACCTCCCTCCTGTCGGCTGCTTCGTCCCGGCCAGCGATGCGTCCTCTGTCACTGCAGTATCATCTGCAAACTTCAGGATGATGGTGTCCTCATGGGAGGCAGAACAGTCGTGGGTGAACAGGGAGTAGACGATGGGACTGAGAACACATCCCTGTGGAGTTCCAGCGTTTGTGATGATCCTGACTGAGGTCCTGGTACCGGTCCTGACTGGGTGGGGCTTGCTGGTCAGGAAGTCTAGAAGCCAGTCATTTGAGTTCCGTACTGTTCGGTCTCGTCTGGTTCTGCACACCGGATAGTGGCGTTAGCATTCGGCTAATTTTAGCTTTCCGTTTAGTCTGGACCAGTTTGTTTTTCCTGATTCTTGTACTGAATGAGTTAAAATAAAAACGTTTGTTTCAGAAACTCGTTTGTTCGACTGAGACACCTGTGCACGAACACGTGGATCCAGAGCACGAACGTTCCCATCGATATCGACGAAGAACGACCCATCAGACTCATGGTGACGTTTTAAGATCACTACGTCTTGGTTTGTTGAGAAGACGACTAAAAATTAAATGTTTAATTCTAAAAAGTCATTTAGAGAAGAACATGCAGGGACGTAAGGTCAAAGGTTAAGGTTTAACGTCAATAAAAGTGAAAATGTTTCTTTCCTCACGTGAAAACAAAACAAACCTTTGTTCTGGACTTGTTGTGTTCCGTGCTGTAGTTGGGGACGTGTGCCACAAAAGAAGACAAGGAGGCGTTCGCCATCGTCTCGGTTCCGGTCATGGAGATCCGGGATCTGGACTTCGCCAACGATGCCAGCGCCATGCTGAGCACCATGGTGGACCAGTTCAGCTCGGGCTTCATCAGCCAGAACGACCGAAAGTACGTCCGTTTTTAACGGTTCTTAGTAGAAGCGTTGAAGCTAAAGAGCGTTGGACACTCAGAGGCGTCCCTGTTTCAGGTTCGCCATCAAGCTGCTGGAGGACGTGGTTTTCTTCGTGGCCGACGTCATTAACAGCGGCCAGCCGGTTCTGGACATCATCATGACCAAACCCAACCGAGAGCGTCAGAAACTGATGAGAGAACAGAACATCCTCAAACAGGTCTGAACCTGAGGCTGTGTGCATGTGCCTGTGTGTCAGTAAAATATCTCATGAACCAGTGGACAGATGTGATCACTGGATGTTTACAACCGATGAAACTTTTGGTGCCAACGTGAGTCAAGGTGGCCGACACAGCTAAAGATATTTAGTTAAAACTTAGAGTGGTGGTAGCTGAGAGTCGTCTCCAACGCACTCTGAGCTTTAACAGACGAGCTGTTGCATGATTTTACCAAAAACTACGTCAGTATTTTACCTGCAGCAGATAGTCAGAGTGATGTGTTTGGAAAATCAGGGAGGTCAGCTACCGTTGGACTCAAGCTAATCAGAGTCAGTCAGACAGCTAACCGCTAATCAAGATGCAAGCTCATAATTAATTAAGTAGAGCTAACAGCTAATCAGAGTCCAGCTAACTTATAATTGTCAATCAAGACTCAAGCTCACAGCTAATTACATCTAGCTAACAGTGAAAAAGATTTAAGCTAACAGCTAATCAGAGTTGCGAAAACATGCAATCAGATTTGAGCTAACAGATTATCAGAACAGCGCTAACAGTGCTAACAGCGCTAACAGCTAAAGGTGTGTTAAAAGCTAATCATAGTTTAACTAACAGCTAACCTCTAGTTCAACTTAAGCTAACAGTTAGTCAGACTTGTGTTTACTGCTAATCGAGGATGAACTAAAATTTAATCCAATTTGAGCTAACATAGTTGAACTCAAGCTAACAGCTAATCAAAGTTAAGCTAACTGCTAAAGTGATAAAAGCTAATCAGAGTTGAGCTAACAGCTAAAGTGCTGAAAGCTAATCAGAGTTGAGCTAACAGCTAAAGTGCTGAAAGCTAATCAAAGTTGACCTAACATCTAAAGTGCTAAAAGCTAATCAGAGTTGAGCTAACAGCTAAAGTGTTGAAAGCTAATCAAAGTTGAGCTAACAGCTAAAGTGCTAAAAGCTAATCAGAGTTGAGCTAACAGCTAGTGATAAAAGCTAATCAGAGTTGAGCTAAC